ACACAGTATATCTACCTTCCTTCTCTCCATCATGTCCGCCAGCTCTCTACCTTTCCCTGTCATTGTGCCAATGTTAAGAGTCCCTATTCTCAGACCTATACTCCTGCCTTTCCTCTTCTCTCTCTGTCTATGAATCCTTCGACCTCCTCTCCTTCTTTGACCAACAGTAGTCCAATTTCCGCCAGCACCCTGTAGATCAACAGCACTGGTGGCGGTCGTTGTTAACCCGGGCCTCGACCGATCCGGTATGGAATTCACGTTTTTATGCCGGATGCCCTTCCTGACACAACCCTCTCTATTTATCTGGGCTTGGGACCAGCACAGAAGTCACTGGCTTGCAACTCCTGTGGCTAGATTGGTCATTTTTACTGCTCATTTTTACTTATGTTTGTGATAACTTTAGCTATTACTTTTTAAAATCATATCACTTAAACAAAATACAGTATAGTCATAAGAATTATTGACTCCTGGTGAAAAATTCACAAGCTACTATACTTCAATTATAAAAGCATATAGGGAAATTAAAATGAGCTCCATCTTTACCAGCTGCTAAATGTAATGTACTCCATAATGCATCCATAATTATAATCCAATAATGATATACGTCATGGGAAATTAGGCATTCTGCATAATAAGTGCTTTTACTTTTGGTACTTACAATAGGTTTATTTATTCATTAATAAGATTTCTTTAATTTTATTCAACAATTACACAAATTTTAAGAACGAAAAAAAAAACAGCTTCATGTTGTGACTAATGTACATTGCTGGTTCAGTGAAAAAAAAAACACATCCACTGTATACATGACAAAAACAACAGATGGAAGACAAAAATGATGTAAACATTTAATCAAAACTACTCCGAAATCTTTTAACAGTGACTGAACAATTTTCACCAAATGTTCCACTGTTCCCTATTGATGGAGGGCCCTTAATATACTGTATCTTCACCCCTGCCCTCAGAGAGCCTCAGTCCACCACTGATTGTGGACATGCACATGTTGAGGAAAAACTGAAATAATATTTAGGTTCTTGTTGATTGCTTTCTTGTTTGATACCTATAAAAAACATCATTCTGAAATGCTATTGTTTTTTTGTTTCCCCAAATTGAATGAAAAAAAAAACCAAACAAAATGATCAAATGATACATGGTCCAACATACACTATTTCTCTCAATAAAATCATACTGTAATTAATGTTGTGGTCAAAACAAATGACATACAAAGAAATATTCTACATTTTGATTCATTTAATTTAAAATGGTGCACTCATTAGCTCTAATGACAATATTTATTTAAAAAGTTAGATCTT